GTTTGCCCAATGCTCTCCAATCCAAACTGCAAAATAATTTTTTGGGAAACCTTGTACTTATCTGTGTGTAAGTCAATCTATCTCTCAGTCGATTTGTTTATTTTTTCTTGCAAAATTATGTAAGTGAAGTTAAACAAATTGATTTGTTTCAGAAAACAATTAGTCGATGTCTATTATGATATTTTCTTTTCTTTCAAAATAACTCAATTGATTGCAATACAACTTTGTTTTAAATTTTACCACACTCGTTTAATGACAACAATATTCTAAAGTTGTATTAGAATTAAAACTCTTTTATAAACTGTAACGACACACTTTCTGTCGCTGATGATGCTGAGGTATACTCAGCCGTCGTCCAGGGGTCGTTGCAATAGAATTTTTATTTTGGAAGTCAAAGACAATGTGATGTAGTAATTCAATTATTTATTTAGGAGAATTTAAAATAAAATAAGGTTTTACAATCTAATTAATTATAATATAATGCTGGTTTGCTAATTTGATGATTACGATTATTTGGAATAATTGTGCTTCGATGATTGTTCCGATTGTTGTTTCCACGTGCCTGAAATGTTGCTGTCAGACGACACTACTTGTGCTAATCTTGGTGTTTTGTCAGAAGACGTCGTTATCTAAAGATTAGAAGTGTTATGCTGGGTTACAGCCTTGGTTAGCATTAATGTTAGGACGTATTACTACCCTAACTCAAACCTACAGAAAATTCTACTAGTCAAGATGTATCATGACTACCTTGGCTTGATTTACATATAAGACTACATATACAATCTACTTGTCAAGACGTATATACTACCTTGACACTATAGTTCTACTGACTTGTTTCGCAAAGACGTATTACTACCTTTGAGAGTTTCCCAACAAGTGCCCTTGCTTGTACAATGCGCGTTTATTTATACTCAAATGACCGAAGCTTTTCCTGTAGCGCATCGGTACATTTGCCGTTGGTATTTTTGATACTTGTTGTCTTTTGCTGCTGTTGTTCGCCTGGGTGTAATTTCTGTGCTTTGTGTTTTCGTGTGTTCTTAAATTCGCCGTGCTTTGTATTTAGTTCAACCAAAGCTTTCACGCTTTGACATTTCTTGTTTTGTTTACAAACGTGTTTATGCCGGTGTTTGTGATTTATTATTTATTAATAAATTTATTTATTTATAAATATTTATTATTATTAAATATTTATATTAAATAAATATTACAAATATTAAAGGTGAGTGTATTATTTATTTGTTTAAATATATTTTATATTACTTGCATTTTCAATGTAATCTTAGGTTTGTTTATTTGGTGCAATTACGTGCATGCGGGGGTGGGTTTATGGTAAGTTGTTTACGTTTTATATTTACAATAAAAATTAACCAGTTTTCATTGTAGATATTAACTCCACAGTGATTGTATGTAGGTTGGAAATTAGTTAAAATTTCCATCCTTACAAAACATATTAAAGGTTACACGATAAATATATATTTAATCGTTTATCGATCATTCTTGAGTTGATAACTATCATAATTAACCATAATAAACTGAAAAATAAAACAAAAACTGACAGGTGATATATATATATATAATTTCACACCTCACTAAATCAAACTGTAATTGCGCTTCTCAGAATAAAACGCTATATTTTTAATTTGTAAAATATTTATTAACTTTTCTTGATTATTAAAATTGTCAAACTCACATAGATAACGAATAATCAAATTGTTTATAAAATTTTATTTTTCTTAACATTTATTCTCTTTTTCCACATGCAATCTTTGAAGTTTTGAAAAAAAACACCAATATATCCCAACCCTGCTCCCTTATGTTATATGCAATTTCGTTTGAGTTGATACCACACAGAAGCGTATACTATATGCAAAACCAGAATAAGGTCAATAAACTGTTGACGTACTATCAAAGTCTTTCGCACTATGCGAGAAGACGCTGTAGGAGTTATTACTACAACAACTTAAATATACATCTTAGCACTCAAAGTGCTGTACAATACAACACAACTTCCTCCAAGAGCATTGAAAGAAACTGAAACATTTGGAAGTACTTGCAAGGTTGGAAACACCGGAGAAAGATAGATTTTCTTAACGAGAAGTAAAACCATCAAAACCTATATCAGTTGTATGATTCCTCATATAATGACTGTTAGGTATTTTGTCAAGATACTGTCATAAGCGAATAGTTTAAAATTCATCAATTCTTCACATAATCACTGTTAGGTATTTTGTCAAGATACTGTCATAAGCGAATTGTTTGAAATTCATCAATTGGCAGCAATTAGTTACAGCTAATCTATTTTGGGATTCCGCTTCTCATGCATGCTACAATTCTGCCTTTCTCTACTACTCCTCGACGCTCAGTCTTATTTTCTGCCACTACTTACTGGAGTCGGTTTCTCATTGTTGAAAATTCTTTCAAATGGTTGTCTCTCATTAGGTCTCTGTACTTTCAATTTCACTGGAACCTTCTGAACAGAACGTGCCCTACTCAATATGAGACTAATTTATATGCTGCTTAAATCAACCATGTTCGCTAAATATCTACGTTAAATAAAAATCTATTTCACATTATTTTTTCTTAATCTTCGTTTCTACCTTTGGAATCAATAGGTAAATCCACTTCCTTTGTTAAAAACTTTCCACCATCATTGATATTATAATAGGCTTCATCTTCTCTACTACTCTTCTGTTTTGTTTTGATCCGACAAGCAATTTTGTTGCAATTTCGTCTTGTACCAATATATCAATCTGTGGCGGCTTTTAAGAAATTGGTGTTTCAGCCGGTGGCGAACACTATGCAGAAGAATACTTAATATAAGCGGAATAAATATGTGTAGAGTTCCATTCTAAAGTACAGATTGATGTTTCAATCGGTAACAGATAGCACGCAGGAGCATATTGATTATAACCGAAAGAGTATCGAAGAGTATCGCTTAAGCGCTCTATAAATTGGCGGTATGTGTTACTCAGTGGATCTTATGACCAATACTATATCGTCAAACACTGTACGATAAGCACTTATGCGGTATGCCGATTGGGTGCTTTGTAAGATACGATGAATGTACGGACATGATATTAACCGTGCAGGCGGTACCTGCATTGAATGCTAATTGCATGGGTGAAGTACAATATGCGAAGCGCGTTCTTTTGGAACCAAACAGTTAAGAAAGGATCCGAAACATCGTAATGCTCACTGTTCTTGTAAAGCGAATAACTTACAGATAACATACTTGACCAACAAACGTATGTTTGAACAGAAATGCTTAACAGAAGTTCTGGATGGATTTATCCATTCGGTCGAAAGGAGCCGAATAGATGAATAATCTTTGGATTCTAAAATTGAATGTATGACCCTAATCTATTCGAAAATATACAGGACTTCTTTAAATTTTTGTTCGTAGTTAGTTTGTTTATTGTATTATAAAGGAACTGGTTTGAATTTTCATTTCTATAAAAAGTATAGTTTACTAACTACAAGTATGAATATATATATTATAAGCTTACACTGCATAATAGAAACAAAATCCCTAACGGCATTACATACTCACCCAGTTTTACTCAAACTATTGAAAAGATTGTTTTAGTAATGGATCGGGGGTTAAGTGTAGTCGCAATAAATAGAAGTCTTATTGAATTTTCCATTTCATTAAGTAAATGAAATGAAAATCCGCACAATTCAGCATCATCAAATGTGCCCGCACTTGAAATACACAGTTATTATGCACATGTGCACATACACCCACACAAACTCAAAAAAAGTGCATTAAGTGTATTTTATTAAAAAAAGGGGAACAGAAAATAATAAAAAAATATTTGCAGCAAATTTTCATAATAAATTTTGCGCACTTTATGCCCCAACCAAAGCATTTGGAAGGATACACGCCTACCTATGTACCGTATTTACACTCGTAAGCACATGTGTAAGTGCCGAAGTGCAAGTGTATGTGCGTTCTGAAGTGTAAATGCCTGCCTCATTGCCTTTATCGGAGGTGTGCGTGTATGTGTATGTGTGTGTGTATATGCGTTGTTGATGTCCTGGCGTGCGAAATACTCTCAGACAACGTTTTTTATTGCATTTCAGATTATTACGCCGATGGTTTGGTTCAGCTCGGTTTTGTTGGGTTGAGATGGGTTGAATTGGACTCGGTTTGGTTTTATGTGGCACATTTTTGACTATGTTCATTGACGACGAATGAATTTTTCGGTAATACTTCCTGCCAATGTATCCTGCACGTATCCTGACTGCACGCTACTCATTCATTCATACAAAACGTTCAGTGCAACGTTCAGTGCCGACACAATTGCACACTCAATGAATAATTTAGTTGAAAATTTTGGCGTCCGTATACGTCTGTCTTTGAGTCGCGCTGTTTAGTAGTCCATCTGTCTATCCCTCTATCCGTCTATCTGGCTGTTTGTCTGTTTGTCTGTCTGTTTGTCTGTCTTTCTGTTAATTTGTTGAGGCTTATATGAGTATGTGTGCAAGGAGTCGATTTGCAACGCATCATATAAGCGAACTCATAAAATTTATGCGTTTTTGTTTTTCGACCGCTACTGTGCGGCTCCATAAAATTGTAGCAACAGTTTGAATATTATTTCAGCGACCATTTGGGCCCCTCCTCCCCAACAGTTTGACTTGTCAGTATTCATGTAATTTTTTATAGAGGGTAACTCGGAGTTACCACTGCAGAATGATCGCATTTTTATGCCACATTTTGTGTGGATTATGACCGTCGCTATAAATAAATTTTCGGTGTGAAAAAAGTAAAATTGCAAACAATTTTATGAGTGGTTTTTTTATTTCCCTACGCCTGAGTAGCTCACAAAAAACGGGTCTGCCACGCATCTACACACGTGCGCTCATATAATCCAGTATCTATCTACGTCTCTTG